CGCCCTCCAAGTCGCGCCCTCCAAGTGCGCGCCCTCCAAGTGCGCGTCCTCTAAGTGCGCGCCCTCTAAGTGCGCGCCCTCTAAGTGCGCGCCCTCTAAGTGCGCGCCCTCTAAGTGCGCGCCCTCTAAGTGCGCGCCCTCTAAGTGCGCGCCCTCTAAGTGCGCGCCCTCTAAGTGTGCGCCCGCTAAGTGCACGCCCTCTAAGTGCGCGCCCTCTAAGTGCGCGCTCTCTAAGTGCGCGCCTGCTAAGTGTGCGCCCGCTAAGTGCACGCCCTCTAAGTGCGCGCCCTCTAAGTGCGCGCCCTCCCTCTAAGTGCGCGCCCTCTAAGTGAGCGCCCTCTAAGTGCGCGCCCTCTAAGTGCGCGCCCTCTAAGTGCGCGCCCTCTAAGTGCGCGCCCTCTAAGTGCGCGCCCTCTAAGTGCGCGCCCTCTAAGTGCGCGCCCTCCCTCTAAGTGCGCGCCCTCCAAGTGCGCGCCCTCTAAGTGCGCGCCCTCCAAGTGCGCGCCCTCCAAGTGCGCGCCCTCCAAGTGCGCGCCCTCCAAGTGCGCGCCCTCCAAGTGCGCGCCCTCCAAGTGCGCGCCCTCCAAGTGCGCGCCCTCTAAGTGCGCGCCCTCTAAGTGCGCGCCCTCTAAGTGCGCGCCCTCTAAGTGCGCGCCCTCCCTCTAAGTGCGCGCCCTCCAAGTGCGCGCCCTCTAAGTGCGCGCCCTCCAAGTGCGCGCCCTCCAAGTGCGCGCCCTCCAAGTGCGCGCCCTCCAAGTGCGCGCCCTCCAAGTGCGCGCCCTCCAAGTGCGCGCCCTCCAAGTGCGCGCCCTCTAAGTGCGCGCCCTCTAAGTGCGCGCCCTCTAAGTGCGCGCCCTCTAAGTGCGCGCCCTCTAAGTGCGCGCCCTCTAAGTGCGCGCCCTCTAAGTGCGCGCCCTCTAAGTGCGTGCCCTCGAAGTGCGCGCCCTCCAAGTGCGCGCCCTCCAAGTGCGCGCCCTCCAAGTGCGCGCCCTCCAAGTGCGCGCCCTCCAAGTGCGCGCCCTCCAAGTGCGCGCCCTCCAAGTGCGCGCCCTCCAAGTGCGCGCCCTCCAAGTGCGCGCCCTCCAAGTGCGCGCCCTCCAAGTGCGCGCCCTCTAAGTGCGCGCCCTCTAAGTGCGCGCCCTCTAAGTGCGCGCCCTCTAAGTGCGCGCCCTCTAAGTGCGCGCCCTCTAAGTGCGCGCCCTCTAAGTGCGCGCCCTCTAAGTGCGCGCCCTCTAAGTGCGTGCCCTCTAAGTGCGCGCCCTCCAAGTGCGCGCCCTCCAAGTGCGCGCCCTCCAAGTCGCGCCCTCCAAGTGCGCGCCCTCCAAGTGCGCGTCCTCGAAGTGCGCGCCCTCTAAGTGCGCGCCCTCTAAGTGCGCGCCCTCTAAGTGCGCGCCCTCTAAGTGCGCGCCCTCTAAGTGCGCGCCCTCTAAGTGCGCGCCCTCTAAGTGCGCGCCCTCTAAGTGCGCGCCCTCTAAGTGCGCGCCCTCTAAGTGCGCGCCCTCTAAGTGCGCGCCCTCTAAGTGTGCGCCCGCTAAGTGCACGCCCTCTAAGTGCGCGCCCTCTAAGTGCGCGCTCTCTAAGTGCGCGCCTGCTAAGTGTGCGCCCGCTAAGTGCACGCCCTCTAAGTGCGCGCCCTCTAAGTGCGCGCCCTCTAAGTGCGCGCCCTCTAAGTGCGCGCCCTCTAAGTGCGCGCCCTCTAAGTGCGCGCCCTCTAAGTGCGCGCCCTCTAAGTGCGCGCCCTCCAAGTGCGCGCCCTCCAAGTGCGCGCCCTCCAAGTCGCGCCCTCCAAGTGCGCGCCCTCCAAGTGCGCGTCCTCTAAGTGCGCGCCCTCTAAGTGCGCGCCCTCTAAGTGTGCGCCCGCTAAGTGCACGCCCTCTAAGTGCGCGCCCTCTAAGTGCGCGCTCTCTAAGTGCGCGCCTGCTAAGTGTGCGCCCGCTAAGTGCACGCCCTCTAAGTGCGCGCCCTCTAAGTGCGCGCCCTCTAAGTGCGCGCCCTCTAAGTGCGCGCCCTCTAAGTGCGCGCCCTCTAAGTGCGCGCCCTCTAAGTGCGCGCCCTCTAAGTGCGCGCCCTCCAAGTGCGCGCCCTCCAAGTGCGCGCCCTCCAAGTCGCGCCCTCCAAGTGCGCGCCCTCCAAGTGCGCGTCCTCTAAGTGCGCGCCCTCTAAGTGCGCGCCCTCTAAGTGCGCGCCCTCTAAGTGCGCGCCCTCTAAGTGCGCGCCCTCTAAGTGCGCGCCCTCTAAGTGCGCGCCCTCTAAGTGCGCGCCCTCTAAGTGCGCGCCCTCTAAGTGCGCGCCCTCTAAGTGCGCGCCCTCTAAGTGTGCGCCCGCTAAGTGCACGCCCTCTAAGTGCGCGCCCTCTAAGTGCGCGCTCTCTAAGTGCGCGCCCTCTAAGTGCGCGCCCTCTAAGTGCGCGCCCTCTAAGTGCGCGCCCTCTAAGTGCGCGCCCTCTAAGTGCGCGCCCTCCCTCTAAGTGCGCGCCCTCCAAGTGCGCGCCCTCTAAGTGCGCGCCCTCCAAGTGCGCGCCCTCCAAGTGCGCGCCCTCCAAGTGCGCGCCCTCCAAGTGCGCGCCCTCCAAGTGCGCGCCCTCCAAGTGCGCGCCCTCCAAGTGCGCGCCCTCTAAGTGCGCGCCCTCTAAGTGCGCGCCCTCTAAGTGCGCGCCCTCTAAGTGCGCGCCCTCCCTCTAAGTGCGCGCCCTCCAAGTGCGCGCCCTCTAAGTGCGCGCCCTCCAAGTGCGCGCCCTCCAAGTGCGCGCCCTCCAAGTGCGCGCCCTCCAAGTGCGCGCCCTCCAAGTGCGCGCCCTCCAAGTGCGCGCCCTCCAAGTGCGCGCCCTCTAAGTGCGCGCCCTCTAAGTGCGCGCCCTCTAAGTGCGCGCCCTCTAAGTGCGCGCCCTCTAAGTGCGCGCCCTCTAAGTGCGCGCCCTCTAAGTGCGCGCCCTCTAAGTGCGTGCCCTCTAAGTGCGCGCCCTCCAAGTGCGCGCCCTCCAAGTGCGCGCCCTCCAAGTGCGCGCCCTCCAAGTGCGCGCCCTCCAAGTGCGCGCCCTCCAAGTGCGCGCCCTCCAAGTGCGCGCCCTCCAAGTGCGCGCCCTCCAAGTGCGCGCCCTCCAAGTGCGCGCCCTCCAAGTGCGCGCCCTCTAAGTGCGCGCCCTCTAAGTGCGCGCCCTCTAAGTGCGCGCCCTCTAAGTGCGCGCCCTCTAAGTGCGCGCCCTCTAAGTGCGCGCCCTCTAAGTGCGCGCCCTCTAAGTGCGCGCCCTCTAAGTGCGTGCCCTCTAAGTGCGCGCCCTCCAAGTGCGCGCCCTCCAAGTGCGCGCCCTCCAAGTCGCGCCCTCCAAGTGCGCGCCCTCCAAGTGCGCGTCCTCGAAGTGCGCGCCCTCTAAGTGCGCGCCCTCTAAGTGCGCGCCCTCTAAGTGCGCGCCCTCTAAGTGCGCGCCCTCTAAGTGCGCGCCCTCTAAGTGCGCGCCCTCTAAGTGCGCGCCCTCTAAGTGCGCGCCCTCTAAGTGCGCGCCCTCTAAGTGCGCGCCCTCTAAGTGCGCGCCCTCTAAGTGTGCGCCCGCTAAGTGCACGCCCTCTAAGTGCGCGCCCTCTAAGTGCGCGCTCTCTAAGTGCGCGCCTGCTAAGTGTGCGCCCGCTAAGTGCACGCCCTCTAAGTGCGCGCCCTCTAAGTGCGCGCCCTCTAAGTGCGCGCCCTCTAAGTGCGCGCCCTCTAAGTGCGCGCCCTCTAAGTGCGCGCCCTCTAAGTGCGCGCCCTCTAAGTGCGCGCCCTCCAAGTGCGCGCCCTCCAAGTGCGCGCCCTCCAAGTCGCGCCCTCCAAGTGCGCGCCCTCCAAGTGCGCGTCCTCTAAGTGCGCGCCCTCTAAGTGCGCGCCCTCTAAGTGCGCGCCCTCTAAGTGCGCGCCCTCTAAGTGCGCGCCCTCTAAGTGCGCGCCCTCTAAGTGCGCGCCCTCTAAGTGCGCGCCCTCTAAGTGCGCGCCCTCTAAGTGCGCGCCCTCTAAGTGCGCGCCCTCTAAGTGCGCGCCCTCTAAGTGCGCGCCCTCCAAGTGCGCGCCCTCCAAGTGCGCGCCCTCCAAGTCGCGCCCTCCAAGTGCGCGCCCTCCAAGTGCGCGTCCTCTAAGTGCGCGCCCTCTAAGTGCGCGCCCTCTAAGTGCGCGCCCTCTAAGTGCGCGCCCTCTAAGTGCGCGCCCTCTAAGTGCGCGCCCTCTAAGTGCGCGCCCTCTAAGTGCGCGCCCTCTAAGTGCGCGCCCTCTAAGTGCGCGCCCTCTAAGTGCGCGCCCTCTAAGTGCGCGCCCTCTAAGTGTGCGCCCGCTAAGTGCGCGCCCTCTAAGTGCGCGCCCTCTAAGTGCGCGCTCTCTAAGTGCGCGCCTGCTAAGTGTGCGCCCGCTAAGTGCACGCCCTCTAAGTGCGCGCCCTCTAAGTGCGCGCCCTCTAAGTGCGCGCCCTCTAAGTGCGCGCCCTCTAAGTGCGCGCCCTCTAAGTGCGCGCCCTCTAAGTGCGCGCCCTCTAAGTGCGCGCCCTCCAAGTGCGCGCCCTCCAAGTCGCGCCCTCCAAGTCGCGCCCTCCAAGTGCGCGCCCTCCAAGTGCGCGTCCTCTAAGTGCGCGCCCTCTAAGTGCGCGCCCTCTAAGTGCGCGCCCTCTAAGTGCGCGCCCTCTACCTTTGCCTCCAGCGAGGTGCCGGGCCTTGAGGTCAGTGTGCCCATCCTTTCTTCTTCGCATGAGATTGTTGAGTCGACTCATAACCCACCCTCGCTTGCCTGCCCACAGTCTTAACCTCGCCTGCACATTTGCAATCTCAGTGCATTTCCACAGCACATTGATTCCCTCTTCTCCTGCTTCCTCCTCTGTGGGCCAGCGCCGAGCTCCATGCGCTGCTTCCTCTCTTCTCTTACCCTCCACGCTCATCAGTTTTGCTCTGCCCAGCAGTCAACATTGCGACCCAGTAATCGAGGTCTGAGACGTCTCAAAACATCTCCCCCACCCTCTCTTCCCCCCTTCCCTTCCCCATTGCTCTCAGCTGGAGGCGTTCCCAACAGTCATGCTCTACCCGGCTGGCAGGAAATCCCACCCGGTAAGCCCCACTCCATGGGCCACGTCTGCCCCACTCCATGGGCCACGTCTACCCCACTCCATGTGCCACGTCTGCCCCACTCCATGGGCCACATCTGCCTCTCTCTCTCCTCCCGTCGTTGCTACCTCCTGCCGTGCATGCTCTCTCCCACATGCTGCTCTCTCCCACATGCTGCTCTCTCCCACATGCTGCTCGTTTGCATTATCGAAATCAACCAAGCACGCTATGCATACCTTGGTTGGATGCACACGCCGCCCACGCTCTAGCAGCACGACACCACCCAAGCTCAGGGTTTAGGGTCGATTCTAAAGTCACCTCGACCTCTCACCTCTAGCTGCCTCCTATGCGCGTCCCCCTTTCCCCCTTTCCCCTCCCCCCCCTTCCACCACGTGCCGTGTGCTCTCCCCTACAGGTGACAGTGGAAGCCCGGTTGGTGCGGTGGGCACGCTCAGGCAGCACATCGGCACCTATAGCACGTCACATGTGACCTCACTCTTGAGTCGACCTTTCACCTCTCGCTGCCACCTATGCACCCCACCCAAAACTGCTCCCACCCCCCCTCCCCCAACCTCCTCCACAGGTGACAGTGGAAGACCGGTTGGTGCGGTGGAAGCACATGGTGGGCACGCTCAGGCAGCACTCCGGCACCGCACTGCACCTGCCTGAAAACCTGGAGGAGGAGGTGGAGGAGCAGGGGGAGGAGTACGAGAAGCAGAGGAGGAAGGAGGCTGCGGCGGAGCAGGCAAGGCGAGAAGCAGGAGAGGTGAAGGATGAGCTGTGAGGCTGGCTGGCAGCGAATGGGTCGTGGGAGAATGGTTGAGACAGGGAGGCAGAGAGGTGCAGCAAGGGAGTGACGCGGAGCCCATTGGCGCGTGTCACGCGCATTCCATTCCATTCTATTGTGACGGTTGAGTCAATCCAAAGGTGGCCCTGGTGAAGCAAGAGAGTGTTGAGAGGGCCAGTGGCTGCTGAACCAGCAGCACATTCCGCTGCTGTGTGATGCGGTGGGGAGCCGCGATAGATGAAATTGTGATGCCTGGCCTGTTTTTCCTGCTGTGCCACACAACCGTTCGTTTTTGGCAAGAGTCAGTGTGGAACCCTCACAGTGCTGCCCTGCCTACAAGACTTGTGGCGCAGAAAATGTCATCCATTATCAAGCAGGGAACACATTCAATCCACTCTATGCCATTTGACCATGCATCTATGATCCCTCCAGCCTGGCATTGCGCAGGCATGCTACATTCCATCTACTTGCCATGGCCCTTGATCTCCCCTGCTATGCCGTCTGCCAGCCCCTCTGGCGTGTGGTTGCGGCCAAAGAACTTGACAAACTCAAACTCCGGACTCATCAGGTATCTGCGGGTAAGGGAGAGGTGGGGGGAGAGAGGAGATAGGAGGGGGTTGGCGAGGGGGTTGGGGGGGAAAGCGACGAGAGGAGGGAAGAGGGAGAAGAAGGCAGGAAAGGCGGCAATTGTGTCCCGCAGATACCTGATGAGAACCCTTACCTCTAACAAGAAGCACATGCAAAGCAGCAGGGGTGCGCTCGATCAATGAGGAAATTGTGGCCCTCTTCCTCTGTCTCCATGTGGTAACCACATGGACAGAGAGGTAGGTAACAGACTTGCAAGCAGCAGATACGTACAAGGCAGGAGGGGTACTCACGAGATGATGGAGTGATTGACGAAGTAGTCGTAGCTCTCCTCCTCTGTCTTGATGCGGTAACCGCATGGAAAGCCAGGTAACTGGCATGCGAGCAGCAGCAGATGCAAGGCGGCAGGGGTGCACTCACGAGATGATGGAGTGGTCGACGAGGTAGTCGTACCCCTCCTCCTCTGTCTTCATGTAATACACTCTGAATGCCCGCGCTGCTGCCTTCACCTGCCACCAGCAGCGAATGTGCATGGTGCGGGGAAGGTGAGGGAGGGGGAGAGCAGGAGCAGGTAAACAACCATGAAGAAATCACCTGACGTATCCCAATGAAACATGCTGCACGGTCATAATAGAACATGCAACATGCCTGAAGCATCTAAACACAAGATAACTGCAAGGCCACCCACCTGCTCTGGTGTGCCAGTGAGGCCGATCATTCTCGGGTGAAACTCTGCAGTGGGTTGAACGAGCAGGGGAGCAAGGGGTGCAATGGGAGCAAGGGAGGATCAGGAGGAATGATGAGAATATAGGAACGAGAGGCATGGAAGGAGGTGCAAGGAGGTGCAGGTAGTTTCAAGGAGGTGCAGGGGGGTGAACGTGCAGAGGGGTGAACGTGCAGAGGGGTGAACGTGCAGAGGGGTGAACGTGCAGAGGGGTGAACGTGCAGAGGGGTGAACGTGCAGAGGGGTGAACGTGCAGAGGGGTGAACGTGCAGAGGGGTGAACGTGCGGAGGGGTGAACGTGCAGAGGGGTGAACGTGCAGAGGGGTGAACGTGCAGAGGGGTGAACGTGCAGAGGGGTGAACGTGCAGAGGGGTGAACGTGCAGAGGGGTGAACGTGCAGAGGGGTGAACGTGCAGAGGGGTGAACGTGCAGAGGGGTGAACGTGCAGAGGGGTGAACGTGCAGAGGGGTGAACGTGCAGAGGGGTGAACGTGCAGAGGGGTGAACGTGCAGAGGGGTGAACTTGCAGAGGGGTGAACGTGCAGAGGGGTGAACGTGCAGAGGGGTGAACGTGCAGAGGGGTGAACGTGCAGAGGGGTGAACGTGCAGAGGGGTGAACGTGCAGAGGGGTGAACGTGCAGAGGGGTGAACGTGCAGAGGGGTGAACGTGCGCACCTCCTTGATCTGCTCGCTCAGGGTCCACCGATATGAACACCGGTGGTGCCAGGCAGTGCAAGGTGGTGCAGGGCGGTACGATGCGGTGCAAGGTGAGTGCAGCGGGCACGCACCTTTGACGTACTCCTTAACCTGCTCAGCGGTGTCTCGCTCAGGGTCCACAGAGATGAACACCGGCACCACCTTCACTCCCACCTGCTTCTCTGCACGTTCACACAGAGAGTAAGGGTGGGTGGGGGGACCATGGCGGATGGAGAGTGCACGGGGCGGCAAGCGGTCCCTTGCGACTGTGCATGGAGAGAAGGAGATTAGAAAGGAAGATGTGGCATGTGCCTCATGCACACACGCACAGGCACGCGCTCCCCTCCCCTCCCCCTTTGACACGCACCCACGAGGTCGACAGCCTGGGCGATCTTAATGAGCTCGCTGGGGCAGATGTCCGGACAGAAGGTGAAGCCGAAGTAGAGCAGCGCCCACCGCCCCTTCAAATCAGCATCTGTGAATGTCTTCCCCTGCCCGTCCACCAGCGTGAATGGGCCCCCTATGGCCGCCTTGCCCACCGGCTTTAGCTCCCTCACCGCTGCCGAGGGGAAGGGGATGCGGCATGGGGGAGGGGGATAAAGGCCTTGTATGGCCGCCTACCCACTGGCTTCAGATCCCTCACCACTGCCGGCGGGAGAGTTGGGGTAATGAGAGCGCAGGAGAGAAAGCAGGTACCTCTTTGCTTTCTCTCCTGTAATGGGAGCACAACTCTTCACAGGAAAAAGCAGAGGGCAGCCGTGGTGAGACAGTCAAGTGAGGTATAGGCCCTGTGTGTCTTTACCCTTCACGACTTCTGAGGCGCCTCAACTGCAGTAGGGACACGCCTGGCCTCCGCCCTTCACCTGACTTTCTCCCGGGTTCACCCAAACTTACCAAAACAAACCACTCGCTCTCACCTTCACCAGCAGCACAACACACACCCACGCTCACCTTCCAGTCGCTTGCGCTTCTCGCTCTCGAAGTACGTCAGCAGTGCGCCTCCCGTCAGCAGCAGCAGCGCCAGACTCGCCCACGTCACTGGCTGCCGGGGGGGGAAAGGGGGGAGAGGAGGGGAGTGAGTGAAGGGCGGAGCATGAGGCATGGCACGGTGCACGAGTGGTGGTGGCAGCAGTGACAAGCGCGCGAAGGGGCAGAGTGGAAGGGGCAGAGTGGAAGGGGCAGAGTGGAAGGGGCAGAGTGGAAGGGGAGTGCAGCAGCCATGTGGGTGGCAGGCACTACTCACCCCTCGCCTGCCTCTGCTGCCACTACTGCCGTCACTGCTGCTGCCGCCGCTGCTGTTGCTCCCACTGTGCTCGCCCCCATCGCTGCTCTCCTGCTCGCCTTTGTCCCCATCGTCCCCGCCTTGCCTCCCCTTCCCCTCCACTTTCCCCTCCCCCTCCCCCTCCCCCTCCGCCCTGCTTCTGACTGCTTCGCCCTCGGACCGCCCAGAGACTGGCCGCGCAGAAGTGAGTTGAGGGATGACGACTTGCACAGCGCGCACGTGGTGCGGGACGACCTGCCGGCTAGCTGGTAGCGCCTGACGGTCGGGCATCGCCTGGCCGGCAACTGCCGGAAACACGTTTGCGGATGAAATGCTTAGTCTCCTATTCTTCAACAGGGCGATGTCGTATTCTGCCGGTGAGTGATATTGTAACGAGGATAGTGCCACTGTCGAGGCGAGGGGTGCGTGGGGCGGGGGGAATGGCGGGGAAACGGGGGGCTTGGGAGGGAGGAAAGGGATACCGTGCACTGGGTGATCGTGTGCGCGGTCCAGCGAGGTGAAGAACGGTTGTGATCGGTCCAGTGTTGGTCTGCAAAGGATCGATCGCTGGGCGATCAGCTGCGACTGCAGCAGCATCGCCTGCCATCGCACATGGCGTCGCGCCGACGCCGCGGCGAGGGACATGGGCGCGACGATTTGAGCGGCACGATGGGAGCGAGCGGCGCGACGGAAGCTACTGGCGCGATGGGAGGACGCGTCGCGATCGAAAGGGGCGAAAGTGGTGGAGACGGGATGTGCGGAATGGGCGAAGGAATGATGGGCGACGCAACGCACAAGACGGCGCGCGATCGAGCAGACAGAGAGGGGCACAGCGGAGTGAGGGAGCGAATAATGAAAGGACAGGAGTTAAGAAGCTCGGGTCGGGTGGTAGGGGCTAGCGGATCTCGGATCTGACGTGGCACTGGAAAGCCTTCTTTCGGGAGAAGCTTCTTGCTCGTGGCGCGTGAGGGAGAGCGCAGAATGCTGTTTTGTCCTCGGTAGAAACGCATTCGCCCCTGGCCAGTATAAATTTGCTAACTCATATACATAAAAAGAATGAATCGCTTAGATACATGGAAGCTCCATCAAAGCACCATCTCACATTCCTGAATCTGCTCCAAGGCTCCGTAAAGCCCAGTGTACGGGCCTGGAGCCGTCATCTAGCCTACGCTTTGGGTGAAGGGCCTGGAGGTGCCTGCGATACATCACGGCAGCAGCACACACGACGACACGTCCAAGATCTGGCTCTGTCGGCCTGCACAGTGTGGGGCATAGCATGGGGAGGGAGTAGCGGCGGGCTATTGAATGGAATCGTGTGGGGATGGGACGGAATACGTGGTGGAATGGTGCCGTGACGCAGGGGTGCAGCGATGCAGTGGTGCAGAGCAGAGCAATGACAGGAAGAGAGGGCAGAGTTGAGGAGAGGGTTACTGAAGGAGAGGGTGGAGTGCAAGGCAGTGTGTGCCTGCTTGGGCTGTGGGCGCACATGTCTTACCCACAGCAGCTGGAGGAAGCTGCAAACGAGACGGTGGAGGAGGGGCCAGGAGAAGTCGCAGTCGTTTATGTGACCGGTGGGGGGAGGGTGGGGAGAGGCGGTGCATGGGGAGGTGGTGCCGTGGTGGGCGGGGATGCTGCCAGCGGTTGCGGTCGAGGGGAGGTGGGAGGAGGAGGACTGGGAGGGGGTTATAGGGGAGGAGGAGCAGGTACAGGAGCAGAAGCATCAGACGCAGGGGATGGAGGAGGAGATTCAGCAGGGGGAGGTGCGGCGGGAGAGGGAGGGGATGCAGACGGGGCCGAAGATTCCCCTGGAGCTGCTGCTGCCTGTCTGTCCGCGAGCAGCAGAGCAGCCTTGAGGCAGAGGCGGCAGGGCAGCGTGAGGATGGACAGGGCAGCGGCGTGCTTGAGGTTGCCGCTGCTGTTGCAGATGCGCCACGCGTGGTAGTCCAGGTATTGCGCTGCGAGAGAGGGGGCAGGAGGATGGGGCCGACAAGGCGGGAGGGAAGAGGTGTGTGAGTGGGGGAAGGGAACTCTCAAAAGACACGGTTGGTGAGGACATAGAGGTAGAGCAAGGGATGGGGAGGGGGAGTGAGGCAAGAATGACGGAGAGCGAGGGGGAGAGAGAGGGAGAGGGAGAGCAGGGCGTACTGGCGTTGGCGTCGAGCTGGTTGATGAGCACCCCCACTTCGGTCTTGTTGGGGAAGGCTCTCACGTCTATGAACGACCCGGGCGGTGCCAGGTGTGCCACGTCTGGCGCTCCATAGTACACCGGTACTGTGCCTGGGGGGATGGGGAGGCAAGGGTGGTGAAGTACGGTGCAGAGGGGCGATGAGTGGTCTGAGTTGGCTCGTAATGACCCCAATGGTGCCAGCTGTGCCACGTCTGGCGCTCCATAGTACACCGGGACAGTGCCTGGGGGGTGAGGGGTCACGGTTGGTGGAGTGCGGTGCAGAGGGGCGATTGCGGATAGGTGTGATGAGAGAAATGTATTCCTCGGGAAAACGCAGGGACAGGGAGTGACAAGAGGGTAAAATGGGAGAGAGCGGAAGAAGGCGAAACAGAAGGGGAAGAGGGGAAAAAGCGGGGGAGAGTGGGGGACAGGGTAGGAGGAGGGGAGGGGAGAGGGGGATGGAGAGGGGGAAGGCAGAGGTGTGACTGACCGGCATCGAAGGGGATGAAGAGCTTTTCAGTGGCGTAGCTCTCCCTCTCACTGTTCTCCACAGCAATGGCAAACTTGTACCTCGACTCCACACAGTGCGTGCGCGCCGTCCACTTGTCCAGAGGCGTGCTGCAGCAGGTGGGGGTGGGGTGGGGGGCGGGAAAGAGGAGAGTGGAGTGTGGGGGCGGTGGACAGAACGGGACTCCACACAGTGCGTGCGTGCCGTCCACTTGTGCAGCGCCGTGCTGCAGCGCAGGGGGGGAAGACGGGTTGGGGGGTGAGGAGTGGAGTGTGGGGAACCTGATGGGGAACCTGATGGGGAACCTGATGGGGAACCTGATGCGGAACCTGATGGGGAACCTGATGGCGAACCTGATGGGGAACCTGATGGGGAACCTGATGGCGAACCTGATGGGGAACCTGATGGAACCTGATGGCGAACCTGATGGCGAACCTGATGGGGAACCTGATGGGGAACCTGATGGGGAACCTGATAGGGAACCTGATGGGGAACCTGATGGGGAACCTGATGCGGAACCTGATGGGGAACCTGATGGGGAACCTGATGGGGAACCTGATGGGGAACCTGATGGGGAACCTGATGGGGAACCTGATGGGGAACCTGATGCGGAACCTGATGGGGAACCTGATGGAGAACCTGATGGGGAACCTGATGGGGAACCTGATGGGGAACCTGATGGGGAACCTGATGGGGAACCTGATGGGGAACCTGATGGCGAACCTGATGGCGAACCTGATGGGGAACCTGATGGGGAACCTGATGGGGAACCTGATGGGGAACCTGATGGGGAACCTGATGGCGAACCTGATGGCGAACCTGATGGGGAACCTGATGGGGAACCTGATGCGGAACCTGATGCGGAACCTGATGCGGAACCTGATGCGGAACCTGATGGGGAACCTGATGGCGAACCTGATGGCGAACCTGATGGCGAGCCTGATGGGGAGCCTGATGGGGAACCTGATGGCGAACCTGATGGCGAACCTGATGGGGAACCTGATGGCGAACCTGATGGCGAACCTGATGGCGAACCTGATGGCGAGCCTGATGGCGAGCCTGATGGCGAGCCTGATGGCGAACCTGATGGCGAACCTGATGGCGAACCTGATGGGGAACCTGATGGGGAACCTGATGGGGAACCTGATGGGGAACCTGATGGGGAACCTGATTGGGAACCTGATGGGGAACCTGATGGGGAGCCTGATGGGGAGCCTGATGGGGAACCTGATGGCGAACCTGATGGGGAACCTGATGGGGAACCTGATGGGGAACCTGATGGGGAACCTGATGGGGAACCTGATGGGGAACCTGATGGCGAACCTGATGGGGAACCTGATGGGGAACCTGATGCGGAACCTGATGCGGAACCTGATGCGGAACCTGATGGGGAACCTGATGGAGAACCTGATGGGGAACCTGATGGCGAACCTGATGGCGAACCTGATGGCGAAGCTGATGGCGAACCTGATGGCGAACCTGATGGCGAGCCTGATGGCGAGCCTGATGGCGAGCCTGATGGCGAACCTGATGGGGAACTTGATGGGGAACCTGATGGGGAACCTGATGGGGAACCTGATGGGGAACCTGATGGGGAACCTGATGGGGAGCCTGATGGGGAGCCTGATGGGGAACCTGATGGCGAACCTGATGGCGAACCTGATGGGGAACCTGATGGGGAACCTGATGGGGAACCTGATGGGGAACCTGATGGGGAACCTGATGGGGAACCTGATGGGAACCTGATGGCGAACCTGATGGCGAACCTGATGGGGAACCTGATGGGGAACCTGATGGGGAACCTGATGGGGAACCTGATGGGGAACCTGATGGGGAACCTGATGGGGAACCTGATGGCGAACCTGATGGCGAACCTGATGGCGAACCTGATGGCGAACCTGAGGGCGAACCTGACGGGGAACCTGACGGGGAACCTGACGGGGAACCTGACGGCGAACCTGACGGCGAACCTGATGGCGAACCTGATGGCGAACCTGATGGGGAACCTGATGGGGAACCTGATGGGGAACCTGATGGGGAACCTGATGGGGAACCTGATGGGGAGCCTGATGGCGAACCTGATGGCGAACCTGATGGCGAACCTGATGGGGAACCTGATGGCGAACCTGATGGCGAACCTGATGGCGAACCTGATGGGGAACCTGATGGGGAACCTGATGGGGAACCTGATGGGGAACCTGATGGGGAACCTGATGGGGAACCTGATGGGGAACCTGATGGGGAACCTGATGGCGAACCTGATGGCGAACCTGATGGCGAACCTGATGGGGAACCTGATGGGGAACCTGATGGGGAACGTGATGGGGAACCTGATGGGGAACCTGATGGGGAACCTGATGGGGAACCTGATGGGGAACCTGATGGCGAACCTGATGGGGAACCTGATGGGGAACCTGATGGGGAACCTGATGGGGAACCTGATGGGGAACCTGATGGGGAACCTGATGGGGAACCTGATGGGGAACCTGATGGGGAACCTGATGCGGAACCTGATGGCGAACCTGATGGCGAACCTGATGGCGAACCTGATGGGGAACCTGATGGGGAACCTGATGGGGAACCTGATGGGGAACCTGATGGAACCTGATGGCGAACCTGATGGCGAACCTGATGGGGAATCTGAGGGGGGAACCTGATGCGGAACCTGATGGGGAACCTGATGGGGAACCTGATGGGGAACCTGATGGGGAACCTGATGGGGAACCTGATGGGGAACCTGATGGAACCTGATGGCGAACCTGATGGCGAACCTGATGGGGAACCTGATGGGGAACCTGATGGGGAACCTGATGGGGAACCTGATGGGGAACCTGATGGGGAACCTGATGCGGAACCTGATGGGGAACCTGATGGGGAACCTGAGGGGGGAACCTGATGCGGAACCTGATGGGGAACCTGATGGGGAACCTGATGGGGAACCTGATGGGGAGCCTGATGGGGAACCTGATGGGGAACCTGATGGGGAACCTGATGGGGAACCTGATGGGGAACCTGATGGGGAACCTGATGGGGAACCTGATGGGGAGCCTGATGGGGAGCCTGATGGGGAACCTGATGGGGAACCTGATGGGGAACCTGATGGGGAACCTGATGGGGAGCCTGATGGGGAACCTGATGGGGAACCTGATGGGGAACCTGATGGGGAACCTGATGGGGAGCCTGATGGGGAACCTGATGGGGAACCTGATGGGGAACCTGATGGGGAACCTGATGGGGAACCTGATGGGGAACCTGATGGGGAACCTGATGGGGAACCTGATGCGGATGTGGAGCGCGGAGGGGGCGGACGGGAGGGAAGGAAACACAGTGTGTGCGCGTCGTCCACTAGTCCAGCGGCGCACTGCAGCATGGTGCGGGTTGGGGTGGAGGCGAGACTGGGGTGTGGGGTATGAAAGGACGGATGGGAGGGGACGAGGGGCGTAGCAGGTAGAGCCTTAGAGGAGGAGGCATTAACTTGCTATACTTGCACATGGGGTGTGCGATGAGCTCACACGACCTACTTGAAATGACCCTGTATTCCCCTGTTCTACCGGCACGTGTGGTCATTTCAAATCAAGTAGGTCATGTGCGCTGGCCTACCGGCACGTGGGGTGGGCGATGAGTTAGGAGATGCGGTGCATGTTGAACTGGCAGCGGGCGAACGAGTGGTGCCGCACCACATGAGGTGGCTTGTAAACTCGACTCATGAGTCACTTTGCTGCCCTACTGGGAGGTGGTGAGCTGCACACGGTGCAGCTGTGGCATACCGGCACGTGGGATGAGCAATGAGTTCAGAGATGCGGTGCATGTTGAACTGGCAGCGGCCGAACGAGTGGTGCCGCACCACCCGCAGGATGTCCTTCAGCATCGCCTCCCGCCACCTCACCGAGCAGTGCGACCCCGCCCTGTACAGCGGCACTCCCTGCATGGCACAATGGGGTACACAAATCGACAAGGGAGAACAAGCGGTTGAACACCACCCGCAGGATGTCCTTCACCATCACCTCCCGCCAGTGCACTGAACAGTGCGACCCCGCACGGTACAGCGGCACTCCCTGCATGGCACGGGGCGAAGGAGGGAGGGGGTGGGATAAAAGAGGTGTGCACTGAGTATTAGAGGTGAGGAGAGGAGTGAAGAGAGAAGCAGCACAGGCCGTGCACGCTACAGCAGCATGGGCGCCCATGCGCATGAGTGACGACAGCAGCGTGTGCACAGTGACACGCCACATGACTAGAGGAGCCAAGGAGGGGAGGAGGGAGGGGAGTGCAGCGCCAGGTTGGGGGCGCGGCAAGACAAGGAACGACAGGCGGGCACATTCCCGGTGCAGGTTGCTGCATGCTCACACTCACAGCGAGTTTGATGTTGGAGACGAGGTCCTTGCGCGCCTCATCATCGTTCATGCCCACGTATGTGATCTGCACGTCGCTGTCCCGGTGGTACCCCACCACCACGTCCCACCGCGCCTGCTGCTCCATGGGCACCCACGGGGAGAAGATCTGCCGCCCGGGCACTAAGGCGCCCTCGGGTGCTGCCTCGGGGTCCAGCAGGGCCAGCAGGGGGCGCTTGTGGGGGGGGAGAGTGGTGAGCGCATCCATAGCTGGGAGAGGGGGGAGGGGGGAAGAGGGAAGGAGGAGAGTGCGGGTGGAGGCGAAAGGAAGGGGCGGGAGGGGGCAAGCGATGAGCGGGAGGGGCCAGCAGGGGGCGCTTGTGGGGGCGCAGTGTGGTAAGTGCATCTATAGATGGAGGGGGGAAGGGGGACGCGAGGGGGAATGCTGAAAAGTGGGTGTGGGACGCATGCATGGCATCATGGTGCTACGCGGCAGGCACATGAGCCCCATGCGCCCCCTGGCATATGGTGTGGGGTGTGCCACGTGGTGTGGTGTGATGTGGTGTGGTGTGGTGTGGTGTGGTGTGGTGTGGTGTGGTGTGGTGTGGTGTGGTGTGGTGTGGTGTGAATAAGGCGCACTCACCCCTCTCAAAGCACAGAAGCAGTACCATGTGTGAATAAGGCGAGCTGAGCTGAGAGCCCACCTTGTTGCTCGGCCTCCTTGAGGGGCCCGTACTGGCGCACAAAGAGCAGCACGTCGGGGCGAGGCACCACCTGCGGCTCCCAGGAGAACTGGGGGGTGTGTGCGAGGGAGGAGAGAGGGGGAGGGAAGAGCGACAGATCGGGAGGATGGGAGTGATGAGATGAGCCAGTGAGACGGACATACAAGAAGAGACGGGAATTTTGAGTGTGTATGAAGCGAACGCCAAGTATGATTCACGCAGTGGGGCACAATGCAAGGAGCGGGTTGGGTCCCACCTATTGCAGAGTAGGTACAGCCCTGACACCACTCACTATGCACGTGAGGCCGTAGTGTGCGCACGCGTGTGTGAGATAACCAGGCTCTCACAGCAGTGCAGCCTCACGCCAACAACAGCAACGCACGCCTGACGCCATTCACAGCCCTAACACCACTCACAGTGCAGGTGAGGCCGCAGTGCGCGCACGTGTGAGTGCCCTCCAGCCCCAGGCGGTTGCCGAAGCGCTGCCCGAACCACACGAACGGCGGCTGCACGCGCACATTCACATGCCGCTGCTGTATCCGCGGACACTCCGGCAGCGATAGGGGCTGCCACGGAGGGGGGGATGTGGGGGGCGGAAGGAGGAGGCGGTTGAGCGGTGAGCGAGGAGAGGAGGGGGGGGATGGAGCGGGCAGTGATGGAGTGATGCCGTGATGCAGTGGGGGAGGGGGGGGGAGGAAGCGGATGGGGTGCTACCGACCTGGAGCGAGGGGTTGGGAGGCCAGGAGGCGGGGTCGTCGTCTTGCAGCAGGTCCACGTGCAGGTGCGACGCCATGCGCTCACGAAAGCGATCACAGCCGCCGCCAGCCCGCCACTTCCTGTAAGACACGTGGCAGTGGGAGCGATGTAAGGAGCGGGAATCAGTCTGGCTGCGACACCACATCTCTGTGCGAAATCCCTCGACGACACCACGTCTTTAGCTCAAGCGTGCTGGGGGGGTTCTTCAATATGCTGCACGTGAGCCCGCGACCGCAACTCACGGCAGCTGTAAGCAGTTAATGGCCACGCGCGTGCAGCAGCAGGAGTCAGCGGACTCACTCGATCTCGAGCGTCATGTTGAAAAAACCCTCCTTCCATGTCTCATTGAGACTAAAGTCGAAACTCGAGTTAAACGCCGCCTCCTCGTCCTCCAATCGCCGCGCTCGACGGCCTCCGTACTGCCCCTCGACACCCTCGTGCTCGTAGGCGACGCCTGACCCGCCGCTTTGTCCGGATTGAGCGGACAATGCTTGCCGCCCGCGGAGTTGCGGGGAGAAGGAGAGGAGTGCGAGGACGGCAGCGATGAGGTACGCGACGGCGAGCAGTACGCGCGACAATTTAAGGCGTGAATTCGAAACGGATACGATAGGGTCGTTTGCATGTTGAGTCATGCTGACGCGGTCAACGGCGCCTAGATAGTCTCTCTGGTTGCAACAATGCGTTGAAGTTGATACAATTGAAGCTACAGGCACGTCGTGCTGCGGGTTTGCCTTGCCCCCTGCACATTTCTACATGGAACATCAGACACCCAGTTCATCTCCTGACGAAGCTCAGCACAACACAACCTGTCTGGTAACAATTGCCGCAGACTCGCAGCTCTCTCCGAATGGCTTTCGCTGGTCTTTGTGGGCGCCAGCCATCCCCCTCCCATCTTCGCATCCCCAAAGCAAACTCCGACCAAATCTTTCTAGAAGCTCAATTTCCGATTCAGTGTTCAGCCTGCTGATTCTGTCCAAAAAGCCAATCCCGCCATGGCTTCCCAAGTTCTATTTCGCCCGAGTGTCGCAGCTGTTTCCACCAGCGGGTCGCTCGGCCTAACGAATCGTCGTTCCATTAACAGTCAGAATCTTAGCAATTCGTTCTGCCGTTTCCCGGCTCTTCCTGCGCGTTCGCCTGTAGTGACCTCGACCCGACCACTCTCTGCTCGCGCGCAGACTGCAATCTCGTCCTCTGGTCCTTCCTGGGGGCCTTTCCAGCGTACTGTAGTTTCTTCAGATTCAACGCGTCGCGATTGGTCCGTTCGCGCTGCTGACTACGTGTCACCGGGCTACGAGTATGAGCAGGAGATTGATCCTCAGGAGGCCGCGAGGCGTGAGCAGGTGAGCGGCGTGGATTTTGCGTGCTCCGTTTCCCTTGAATCCTGTTAAAGCGTCCGCATACATGATCTTCCATGGCGTCCCACCATTTTACTCGTTCGCTTTGTGAATGCCACTTTCCACTATTTCGAAACCTATTACGGCGTTCCAAGTTTCGTATACAAACTACATCTTCTATTTTATCGCCTCCAGGCTTCGAAGCGGGTGGAACGGACATCCAAATACTTCCGCCAGTTGGGAATTATCGGATTCTGGGGCCAGCTGGTCTGCTCTGTTGTCGCCTCCGTGATCCTCACTTTCTCCATTGTCATCTCTGGTCGGCCTACAGCTCCAGTATCCACGTATCTCACATCGGCTGGGATAGTGGCCGCGTTTCTCTCTGTCTTCTGGTCGTTTGGGTACCTCAGGCTGGCCGATCGGCTGCGCAATGCCATCGAGAATCCCATGAAGGTGGGTGATTTAGAGTTCCTGATGTATTTATGAGTTGCCGTTGTCCTTGCTCTCATCCTTTGATGGTGCAATGTCAGCTTATGCCTGAGCGCCCCTCCTCCATGGGGGTAACTATACATTATCCGCCCTGCCTTGCAGACAGACTGCTCTTAGCTCAGTGGGTGTCATGGCCGTTTTATTTGTCTTATTCATCCATTCATATGCACAATCACATTTGCAGGCCCCGCCTCGCTCTTCAGTGGTGGCAAATCTCAAGAATGGCCTCATTATCAACTTGCTTGGCCTAGGAGCTACTCTACTTGGCCTCCAGGCCACTGTTGGAGTGCTCGTTGCCAAAGCCCTTACTTCCTCCACTCCCATCTATGGTGCTGTCGGCCTTCCCACCGGCTACAACCCTGTTCTGGCCCTCGACGTTTTCCTTGTTCAGGTGCGTGCATGCTGATCACCATGATTTATGGCTAGCATCATCAGATTTTTTTCTTTCTTTTCTTTGTTGTTGCTGGGTCATCTGGCTGATGGTAAAACGCTCAGAATTCCTCATGAGTCACAAATGAGCTTGGAAAGGGAAACAAATATAGATAATATGTTCGCTACTTCCATTCTGGCATACCCTTGCAGGCTTCTGGCAACACTGCTCTTTCTCACTTTCTTGGACTTGTGCTGACGCTGGAGTTGCTGCGCGCAACAACACTCTCACAGCCTCCTCCTGAGAATGTCATCCCACAAGCGTCATGAGTCATGACTAGAGCTGTGGGGGGCAGATGTAGGCTGTACATTAGATGTGTAGTCTTGAGGGATGTGTTTTGTCAGGTGCACTCGGCACCAGTACTGAACACTTCGATGGGAGAACAACCATGGAAGCTTTGAGTGTCCCATTCCAGTGTATGGTAGATCCAACTGTCGTACTGGACATGTTTCCATTATGATCTGGTACATCTCCTCTTCTTCCTGTAGTTACTCCCAATTGGAGCTGAAAGCTGCTCATTGCATTCCAAGTTGTGTACTTCCTTTGAAGGGGATGCTCTCAGCATCGCATCAGCCACTGCAGTTCTGAATGCAGATGAATGCTTGCCACAGTTATGTCGTGCAGCATTTTCCAGAAATGGCTCAAGGGATGAGTGCCCCACGTTCATTCTGCAGTGTTAAGAATTTAGTGCAATGCAATGACTGACATGATTCAGCTGAAAGGCTAATTTCTGCTCCATACCTGACTCGGGGTTCTCCAAAAAGCTTAACCTCGACATTCCCAAATGGATCACCTTCGTCAGCGGCTATTGTTACCTGTGCTGGTGGGTAGTGTCAGCCACTGCAGCGTACAGGCTGCATGAACGAGAAGACAGTACTGTACTAATCTCACCTCCGCAGGCCACCAGATACCCCGATCTTTGGCCCAAACAAGTGAGCCCACTTTTACTTCCTGTTGTTGCAATGCACCTGCAGGGGTCTGCCACAATCGATGTGGGTTGGAAAAAAGAAAGCCTTAAGAATGGATGCAAGAACACAGGCTCAAACATTTTCCGGCGTTTGGAAACTCACCACCATTTTTTTACAGTTTCCTTTTTTTAGTGCAGCAAGTAAGAACACAGGCTCGAACATGTTTTGGCGTTTGGAAACTCACAATTTTCGACAGTTTCCTTTTCTGGTGCAGCAATGGCCTTTGGCGCACGTTCGCATGCTTCTGGCTTTCTGTCATAGAAAGCTCAGCCGTGCTTGTCATAACCCAAGCTCCATGAAGACGGGAGTCCTTCGCCTTAGTTGCAGTCCACAATTCATCCCAGCTGAACTTTCTCATGCTGTCAGGTAGATCCACAGTCAAGTCAGCAGTGCTAGTTCGGTCCCCTCCTTGAGGACGAATCCTAAAGGGGGAATGCGACTTCTGCAATGACACACATGGAAACTGGTTAAGCAATGACAGAATAGGGAGTGGGCCAGAAGCATGCAGTCCTTTAAACATATTCCGGCTAAATGGGACTTCTTTACAGTCCGCATAACTCTCCCTACATGGACTAAAGGCTGCAACTTCGTGATGTCATTCCTGTGAGAGCTGTTGACCCCCTGAACAGCAGCAGCCATGCATGAAGAGAAGATGCAATTCCCCTAACCAGAAATGCAGTAATACGCTTGAAATAGACATACCTTGAGAGACACCATTATCACTGTCCTCCCAATCTTCGAGTTTGGCTTGACCTCGTTTGTGTCAATTTGCAAGTGGAGCGATAACCTTAAAACCTGGTTTTCCAACGATACCCAGTCCACTGCAGCTGCTCCAAAAATCTGCTCATCGAGAGGGCTAGGAGAAGCAGGCCTTTTAAATACTTCTTCTGCAAATTCTGCTGGTTCCGGTTTGATCTGTGGTGCTGTTGCCAAAACTGGTATTTTGCCATTGCAGATTCCGGTTTTCATGTCTGTCTCCTCTGCATGCACAGAAGGTTTTCCTTGTTTATCAACAATAAGCTGCTGTTCCAAGGACTTGGGCGCTTCCATCACTCCACATTTGTTCCTCTGCTCCATTATTCCAGTGCTGTTAGTCTTTTCCAGTAATTGAACAAGAGGCCCGCGCATGGTCTGCTCAGGTATACCAGAAATCTCTTGTCAAGTGGACATTCCTGTCAGAACTTGCCAAATAACAAAAACGGCTGAATAAATGAGTCTCACCGTGCAATTTTGCTTCAAAGAGTCTCCACAACGCTCCATAGAGCGGTCGGGCCCAGGAAACGCATCGTCCATGGATGTGCTGGAATTTACCAGCTTAGGTCGTGGTATGGAAATGACCATCATGTTGCCAGTATCGGAAGATTCTGCTGCTTCTCGTTTGATAGGCCTTGAACTCGTCAGAGTGAGTACATTTTTCCAGTCCAACTTAGAAACGTTCTCGGCCAAGTCCACTGGCGGACATTGCTCCATCTTGAGAAGCTTTGCCACAGTTTCAGCCACAAGGCTTTTCTCTGGCACAGAAGGAAGCCTGGATTCTAAACCCTTCAGTGTTGTCGTCCGAGGACTTCCAGACTCAATTTGGCTCTCTGGCGCTTGCGTGCTCAAATCAACAGCAGCAACTCCAGTGGCCTTCATCTCGACTTTCAAAAGTTCATTGACAGGACTATCCAGCCAGCCCACCGCCAATAGATCTTGTTTTACTTCTTCGACAGGGGGTATTCGTACTTTCGTTGACTCAACGGCATTTGAAAGCTCACATAAAGGGAGCCACAGCCGCATTCCAACCAGGAAGCCAAGACGTCCTGTCAATTGTAGGAGAATGTAAGACAATCAATTAATAACATTGAAGTAAGGACGGCGAGGACACAATCGTACCTTTCTCGACTTGGAGCTTCCATCAGCAAGGCCGTGGATGGCGAGCACCTGATCAGCTGCAAATTAGCTCAAGATAAGCAAATAGGACTGACAAAATTCAACAACGTATGTCAAAAGCATCACCTTTTTCAAATCCCCTCTTCTGAATTTCAGCTCATCAAGACCTGTGCATGCTAGCACCTTCCCGTCTTTGTCTCCTCGCACAAGGCTGCTGTAAATGTCCGCATACATTTCCAAACATAGAGAAGACTCAACAACTGCGGGTCGTGGTTCTTCTTTCTTGACAATTAAGTTCACTGGCTGGCTTAGTCCAACCCATCCATTGTTCTCCTCCACAGGTGTTGACACAAGTTCGGGTTGACTTAAATATTGGATATAAGGGTCTGCTTGACTTTGCGAGAATCCCTGGTCCTGGCTTTGAGAACAACCAGCACCAGGTTGCGAATCCAACAGTGAGTCTGTCACGACTTGGCTATTGTAAGGTTCACTCATTTGCGAAAAGGTCACGCTCTTTGTTTTCTGAGAAAGTTGAGATC